CTCTCTCTCTCTCTCTCTTCACACCATCCTGATGCAGGCAGTCCGTCGTCGAGCACCCACATAGAGTTGTCACCCTGCTTAGTCTGAACATGCAAGCCAAGTTTGCCCGTGTCCCACAATCCGTCGCGGCCACACGTCAACCCCGCATATCCAGCACCAGCTCGTCGGATTGCCCAACTTTGTACTCACCTTCCGACTCTTGCTCGTTAGCCGATCCTCTCAACCACGCTAACTCCAAAAATTCATAGAGAGCGAGTTAATCGCGCTTGCAAAATTTATAGTATAAGTGTTTGTGCGAGATATCCGGGATTGTGCCTGAGTGGGAAGGAAGAAGGAGGAAGGAAGTGCCTACGACTACATGGCCAGGCCGTGGCGTGGGGGACCTAGACACACTCCACACATCGATCCGGTCATGCAATCGTTCGAACCAATAGGACAGGGGAAAAATTATGCGCGCACAGGGGTGCAACGAAGATATCAAGAAAGAGAGGATTACAGTTACATTCACGCCCGCCAAGAAGAGAATTACAGCTACACGTAAGATTAATGCGAAGAAAAGTCAGAGCTCAGATCCTGGCGCGGCAAAGCGTGTGCAAGCAAGAAACGTCGTGCGGTTGCTGGTAAAAATTGCAATGCACCCAAATTCCTAGCCTAAATCCTAATTGCAAAAAGAAATTATGAGAGCCCGTGTAGGCTTGACATCATTTGAAAATTGAAAAAGATCTTCCCTCGCGACGATCTCACCAAAATTCCCCTTTCCCATAGCAGAACAAGAAAGAAGTTATGGCAACAATTATCCGTCGCGCTCTCTAAGGCGTGATCAACTACCAGTCGCCGTGGGACCATATCAGCCTCAATTCCGAAAAGGCATGGGCATCCATGCAATTTGACCGGCCCCTCTCGATCAACCCCTGAAGTAGCCTTGCGCAGAAAGTCGTGCGGTTGCAGAAAACAATTTGTCACACGGCCTCCTTCTAGTTTCTTCTTTTGGCCAGAATCCTAGAGCAAACGTCCCCCGAAATGATCGCTAGTCCGGTGTCCACCCATTCCGCTGTCGAGCCGAAGTAATTTTTGGCACCTTCCCACCTGTGCAGGTAACGACCCACTTTGATATCCTAGG